CTGAAGGATGTATGCAATTTAAAACAGTGTTTTTCAAACGTGGGGGGTAATCTGTGAGTTGATACCAACATTTTTTTTAAAGAAATAGAATAATAGAAAATATCTACATCACATATAGTAATAGTGATACTATTTTGTTAAACTTTGGTCCAGTTTTGTGTGTGTGTGTTGGGACATAATGTAAAGTTTATTTAATCTTTGATTTACAATCCAAAAACTTTGAAAAACATGCTGTTAATGACTCTTTTATTCTAATATTGTGTCCTCATTTTGGGAGTATTAAACTATCCTTTTTTGAAATATATATTTTAAAAAGGTTTTTAAGTCTCTACTTATCAGAACTACCTAATGTCATTCCCACCCTCCACCTTTTTTTTTTTTTTTTTTTGGTCTCTGTAACCTGGAAGTATTTGGAAAGCTTTGCTATAGTGGATTTAAATATGATTTGCATTGATGGCAGTGTAAATTGATAAAGTGGTTTTGGAAAACAATTTGTCATATACAAAGAACCATACAAGTATTAATTCATAAGGTTTGATGCAATTCATTTCCTTTTCAAGAATCTATCCTTAGTTGAAAAAAAAGAATCTATCCTTAGGAAAGTTCCTAAATATGAAAAAAATTATAAGTGTATCACAGCTTCATACATATAGTAAAAAAAAAAATTTAAGAACAACTTAAATGTTCAACAATAGAGAACTGGTTAAGAAAACCAGTTATCTGTCCACTTAGCTGTACACTTAGCTGTTTAAAATTATAGTCATGATAATATGAGAATAATGCCTTTATAATATAATATTAAAATTTTAAGTACAGTAGGTAAAGTTCAAAGTAGTATAACCGGGCGCCTGGGTGGCTAAGTTGGTTAAGCATCTGCCTTCAGCTCAGGTCATGATCCCAGGACCCTGAGATGAGTCCCACATCCGCCTCCCTGCTCAGCCAGGAGTCTGCTTCTCCCTCTCCCTCTACCCCTCCCCTCTGCTCCAGTGCTCTCTCTCTCTCTCTCAAATAAGTAAATAAAATCTAAATAAAATAACAAACAAACAACAAAGTACTGTAACCATCTACATAGTACTACCAAGTGCTGGGTAGTGTGCTAAATGCTTTTTCTCTATTAACTCATTGAGTCCTTATAATGACCCTATGAATTATCTTCATTTTACAGATAAGAAAACTGAGCACTTCGTTTTCCAATAATTCCCTGGCACCAATTCAGTTATGACACTATCTGTAGTTAGCACAGACCCCACAAGTTAAGGGCTCAGTCTCATAAGACAGTCCCCATTTCAGATGCCAGCCACACCTGGGGCCCCCAGGCTACACGCACTTCTACCTGGCCAACTGTAAATTCAGAGGTTCCATGACCACCCCCACCCCTAACCCCGCCATCCCCAGTTCCATAATTTGCTACAGTGACTCACAGAATTTAAAAAAACTGTTCTGCTTATGATTACAATTTTGTTATAAAGGATACAACTCAAGAATAGCCAAATGAAGAAAGGCAAAGAAGAAGGTATGGGGGTGAGATGGTACAGAGATTGAACGCCCTCTAGGTTTCACCCTTCTAGCACTTTGGTGTACCCAAACCTCATTGTTTTAGGGCTTTTATGGAGTTTCATTACCTAGGCATGGTTGATTAAACCATTGGCCACTGTTTGAACTCAATCATCAGCTTCCTCCCCTCTCTGGGTGTGGGGCGAGCCCTGAAACTCTTAAAGGCTCACCAGGAGTCATCTCATTAGCATAAACTCAAGTATTGTTGACTGGGGCTTATGAATTACACTTCTATCAGGAAATTTCAGAGGTTTTAGGAGCTCTGTGCCTGGAACAGGGTCAAAGACCAAATACATTTTTTATACCACACTGAGGCACAGACAGGTTAAGTAACTTGCTCAAGATTTCAATAGGTGATAGCTGAGATTCAAAAATTTTTAAATTTATATATAATGTATGCTGGTAGGAAATAACTCCAAAATGCTTAAAGAGGTTAGGGGGTGGGATCACATTAAAATATTTTTATATAGTATTAATAAATTTATACATACAACATCATAGGAAATCTAGCTTTAAAACAACTTGGAGTAGGGGCGCCTGGGTGGCTCAGTCGTTAAGCATCTGCCTTCAGCTCAGGTCATGATCCCAGGGTCCTGGGATCGAGCCCCGCATCGCATCGGGCTCCCTGCTCAGTGGGAAGCCTGCTTCTCCCTCTCCCACTCCCCCTGCTTGTGTTCCCTCTCTTGCTGTCGCTCTGTCAAATAAATAAAATCTTTAAAAAAAAAAAAAAAAAACCAAGTTGGAGTAGAAATACTACCTTATTTGACAGTCCTAAAGTTGTGGAACACTAGAGCTGAGGGACTTTTTTTTTTTTTAAATAAATGAACTATGATCCAAAAAACGAGATTTGCCCAAAATCATACAGTGGGTTAATGACATAGCTGAAATTAGAATCCAGCTCACCTCTTTTGTTTTAGTTCATCTCATTGTTCTAGAAATCAGCTACATGTTCTTCAGGTCCATGTTTATGTAGGTCAGATACAGGCACAGATTGCGTAGCTTTCATATCTGGTCACAATCCTACCCTTTACCCAGATTTTCTGATTTTATATAGGAACCTTCAGCCCTGCCCTGTACTGAGCCTTGGATTTTGGCTTGGAGGAGGGTACCTCTTGTATTAAAGGCCCAGATGGGACTCTCCTAGCTGCCTCCCTGATCTAACGCCTCTAAGAGAAGAAGAAGAGAGTATAATGAGTATTAAATGAGAGTATAATATCCTTTTTCATTCCTTTTGCCAAGTTACTGCAAAGTCTTCTCCATTACAGGGCTCTGTGGACTGCCCCACTCTGGAATTTGAGTATGGAGATGCAGATGGGCACGCAGCAGAGTTGTCAGGTATGAGGTAGAGATGGTCTGTGGAGAGTGGAAGCATAGCCAGGAGGAGAGGGCAGGGGTCTGTGATCTTCCCTGACAGCTTGTCTGTTCTCCACATTCCCTCTTCTCTCCAACCTCCCGCAGTAAATATGTTTGTTTTTACATTTCTTTCTGTGAATTCTCCTTTGGCTACAGTATTCTTCACTTTTATTCTATCACTCTTTTCTGCTCATCCTTCTTTATTCTCTTTTGGTGCACTCTCAAATCTGTTTTCTTTCCACCTTTTCCCTATTCCTCCTGTTTCTTTTCCCATATTCACTCATATCTTTGCATGCATGCCCCCTTCTTTCTGCCACCCTCTCCCTCTCTCTCTCTGTCTGGGTTTTAGCTTAGGCTAAGTGTGATCTCCTCACACTAAGAGCCTCCATGCTACACGTGCTATGAATGCCAGTTATTAATAAATGAGCTTTGGGTGGCAGTGGTATGAAAATTAAATATTCTGTCACATGGAAGTGACACTTTGAGACATGCTTTTTCAGAGAAAAGAGACAAGAACTTTTAAAGAAGTTCTCGTGAATAAGCACAGGGAATAAATTTGTGATGAGTGACGAAGAGAGAGCTGAGTTTAATAACCAACAAAGGATTAGAATTCCATATATATTCCAATATAAATATATTTCATATGTGTATGTGTGTGCATGTATGTGTGTGTAGAAAGAGAGAAGAGAGAAGAACAACCCAATAGACAAATAGTCAAAGAATATGAATAGGAATTCAGAGAACAGAAAACCATATGGTCAATAAATATATGAAAAGATGTTCAACTACATTAGTAAATGAGGAAAAGCAAATTAAAATATGAGATATTGTTTCACATCCATCGGATTGCAAAACTTAAAAGCCTGAAGTTAGTGAGGGTGCAGAGAAATGAGTACTTTTATACACTGCTTGGCATGAGGGAGCAGAATATAAAATTGGAAAGCAATTTGGTCATATCTAGCAAAGTTGAAGATGCACACATAATGACCAGTGACTCTAGATGTACACTTTAAAGAACATTTGGGCACAAGAAAACATGTATAAACATGTTTATTGTGGCCATTATGAAAAATTTAAAACCACTCAGGGGAATGGATAAACTGTAGCGTATCAATATAGTAGGCTACCACTTAGCCGTTAGAATAATTGATCTATATCAATATGTTTCAATATCAATAAATGTTAAAAACGTAGTGTTGAGAGTGAAAGAAGCAGTGACAAAATAATTTATACATGCATCCAAATACTGCTTAAACACACAAACCTAAAAGATATTTCTGGGAAGTCTAGTTGCACACTTGATTAAGAACAGTGTCAGTTAAGTAAATGGACGTGTTCAGTACACCGTTATGTAAAAAACTATTGAAAGACATACTAAGAATTGTTTCTAAGAAAAATAATATATATAATATCCTGTTTGGATAGAAGCTTTCAAACACAACAATGTCATGTTGTTTACAGGTATATACATATGCAGGAAAAGTAGAAAAACAGGCATGTAAAGGATACACACCAATGTCATTAAAATGGTTAAATCTTGAGAGGGGAATAAGACTGGGGAGGAAAAGGAAACGTTAGATGTCTGAAGTAAATATAACAAGTGTAAACGTTTGTTTAATCTGGGTAGAAGATACACAGGTATCTTATGTATTCTATATCTGTCTATGAAAATTCATGATCTAAAATTTAAAAATAAAAACAAAAATATTTTAGTACCTAACAGCCTTGCTCCCTTTTCTGACTGGGTTCATGCTGTGCTCTTAAAAAACATACATGCACACTACCCACTGAGCACTGAAGAATATCAGAGTCAGAGATGGGATTTGCTTCTGGTCAATCCAGGATTCTGGAACTCAGGACTCAAAAGCCCTGGCTCCCAGACAAGGTGTTTCTCAACCATTAGACAGCTGGCTGGAACATAAGTGAATTTCTCTTTGTGAATTATCTACGACCTAGTTAAATTTCCAGCAAGCGTCTGTTACAGAGTTTTGAGGAAATCTGTTCTGTCACCTATTGACTTCTCAACTTCAATTCTTTATCCTCTGTAAGATGAGGGTACTTCCTGGTATAATGTTCTGGTGTGTGTGTGTGTGTGTGTAGGAAAGGCATTTTTATTTCTCATAAACTCTGCATTTTGTATTCAGAGGCTATTGTTAACAAAGTTAGATTTTCTTGGGCATAAGCAGCCCTTTGGCAACAATAGCTGCTTCTATGTTGTTTGATGCTGTGTCTTCCTGGGTGGCCAGGGGCAGGAACCTAAACTTCTATACCCTTTGAGGAAACTCAGCAGGGAGAGAATGAACTGGCTCCAACCCCAAAGGGCCATCTAACACATACTCTCCAGCCTTTACTCTGGTTCCGTGAATAGCACAAGGATCTTGCCTCTAAATTTCAGGCATTGTGTTGCCCCTCTCTTCCCTAGAGACAGGATAGTTTCAGTCTGGGTTGACAAGCAGAAGGGGTTGCAGCCCTAAGAAACAGGATTGATGACAGTAAGCCCTTTCTGCTCCATCCCTTCTCCTGGCCCTCACCAGCGTTGAAGACTGCCTTCTCTGCTGTAGCAGCCAGCTGGCAGGAGGAGGACAGGTTTGATGGTTTAATCACCCAGGGACACAAGTGGCTATTTTTAACTGCTCCGAAAGGGAGGAAGCTGGCTCTGGATTGAATTGGACACAGGAATGTGTTGGAAGCATTAGCTCTTTCATGCCACCCTCTCCACCCCAGGCCCCTTCTGTAAGGGTCTGTTGAATGTTTGTGACTCTGTCCTGTCTTTCCTAACACAGAATTATATAGCTACACTGAAAACCTGGAATTCACCACTAACAGGAGGTGCTTTGAAGAAGATTTCAAGACTCAAGGTGATCCCAAATTCTTATTCATAGAGACCTTCTTTCCTCCCCCACACCCCATGATATCCCAGCCCAATCTAGAAAAAGCCCAAAACAAAGTATGATTCTTCTTCATCCTCTCCATAACCACTTCTCTATCCCTTCTTCCATATGGGACACAGAGTTTCCTATAGCTCAAGTGGAGAGGCCATGGAATGGAAGCAGGAAAAGCCTGAGCTCGGTCCCTTTCACTGATATAAAGGGCCCAGAGAACAGAGGGTTGGGAACTGGGCTGGTGCCTTGCTGCCTGATTGAACTCTGTGCCTAGTGTAGTCCTTGACTTTAACATTCAATCCCTGCCTCCAACTCTGCCTCACTCCTAATTGCATCTAATAATAATTCCATGTGTCCACACTGATCCTCTCAGACCTCCATCTCCTTACTTGGTCAGTGAATTCAGTTTGCAGCTCAACAGATGTGTGGTGAGAACTGTTTTGTGTGAGATGCAGGGGGCAGGGCTGAAAGTGAATTTGCAGAATCTTCAAAGAGATTATAGTCCAGTGGCAGAGGGGAGGTGTGTACATCACAAAACTCACTGAGGCCAAAAGGAAAGTGGTAAGTATCATAAGAGAAGTAAAAGGTATCTTGGGGGGATTGGAGGCAGGGTAGTATCTTGGAGGACAGAGCTTCTGGCTGGAGCATTAGTGGGAAAGAGGTAATTTAGTATTGGATCTGTAATGATGAATAGGAATTGGATATGTAGGGAGAGAGGGAACTCCTTGAAAAGGCAGAGAGATAGGACAGAATAGGCTCTGTGTGGAGAATAAAGGGGATATGGAGGAAGATGAGCTGCAGAGTGGATTCAGCCAGACCTTTGGGGGTCCTTTACTTTTCCAATCTCTTATTCTTTCTCAGCTAAATAAAGAAAGCTTTTGAAGAGAAGAATTTGTTGGGGGCGGGGATCAGAGATGGGTATGTTATCAGGAGCCTTTCCAGGAAGGGGAGGCAAAAGCTGACACTGGATCTGTATGGCCTTCTTTCCCCAGTGCAGGGCAAGGAGTGGCTGGAGTTGGAGGAAGATGCCCAGAAGGCCTATGTGATGGGACTCCTGGACCGACTGGAGGTGGTCAGTAGGGAACGGCGACTGAAGGTGGCCCGGGCTGTTCTGTACCTGGCCCAAGGCGAGTGGCCACCTTTGCCAGCTTGAGATGGGTGAAAACTAGGGAGAGAAATGTTGTTATCAGGACTAGGATGAGGCAAGCCATGCTAAGAAAGCAAGGTCCCTGCCTCTCAAGGACAGATCTTGTCAAGTGCTAGGAGTAACCTGATGCTTATAAGGAAGTTAAGGAGATGATGGGGGTATTAGGTTGGATCCCTTGGAATTGGCCTTTATCTTGCCACGCATGGCAAGATTTCTTATAAAGTTCTTTTTTCCTTCATGTGGGCTATAATCATATGTGGAGATTTAGTAAGAGAGTCAGTGTGGCTAGAGTTGATGTACCACCAGCTGAGCATGGAGGCTTCTTTCTTCAGCTATGGCACTGACCTCCACTGAGGGGAGGTAGTGTGGTGCCCCAGATTCACACATGGACCTTCTGCGTTATTTCTCCTTGGCATTTAGAGAGTTCAAGCCAGGATAGCAGCAGGAGCAGATGCAGTGTGTAAATGGGATCAGAACTCAGCGAGATTAATTGAGAAAACCTTCCCAGAAGAGACCTATTAGCCAGGTGTTGGAAAGAGAAATGAGATAACCTAACTGGAATAGTAAAAATATGCCCTGAGATCATAATAAGAGGACTATTGGCAGAACCAACTAGCTGGGAGCTAAAACAACAACAACAAACAAACAAACAAACAAACTATAAAAGAAAATAATAAATGGATAGGAATACGAGTGGTGAAGGGAAGACGATAGCAAACAAGGCAGTGCCTAACCATATCTCTCGGGTCTGGTGCTCTGGCCAACTTCCAACTGCTAGTACCTTTAACTTTTTACCTGAGGGCTTTCTCTGCAGTCCATATAGGGTAGCCAGGACGTGCTAGGGAATTAATGTGCTCCCCTAGTCCAGTAGCACTGATCAATGAATGACAGGAGGTAGTGGATGAATAGCCCAATTACCTCACCCTTCTTGGGTGGGATGATTCTGAGGGTGTAAAACATATACTGTTTCCCAGAGCTTCCCCCAACCTGAGTTCAGCTCCTTAGCTGCCTTTTCTTCCCTATCTCACTTCCCCACTTCTCTACTAATGGTTCCTGGGATCATCTCCCAAATAAACTGCTTGCATTCGAATCCTCTCTGGATCTGCTTCCCAGGGAACTCAAACTTAAGACGGGCCAGTGATAAGCACATTGGACCTGACTCTGGAGACTGTTTCTCCTCTTTCCTGCCTCATTCAAGGAGGTTCTGGAGGGCCCTTGCCGTACTTTGTCAGCCTAATTGTTGGGCAAGGTGTTGGAAGATAGACTTAAGATCATGGGGCAGGGTGGAAAGAACTGGGTACCCCTCAACCCATATGACACTGTCTGGTTCTTTAGGCACTTTTGGGGAATGTGATTCGGAGGTCGATGTACTACACTGGTCCAGGTACAACTGCTTCCTGCTCTATCAGATGGGGACCTTCTCAGCCTTCTTGGAGCTACTCCACATGGAAATCGAGTGAGAAACCTTAGGGGAGAGCCGGCCTAGACAACCCCCTTCCTTGAAGTGTGCCTCATGTCCTATGCTGATTCCCTCACTATAGAGACCTCTGTGGGAGCAGGGTCTATTCACACCTCAGCCCAAAGCTTACTGACAGTTCCCCTCCATCCAGCCATGCTCTCTGATAGTCTGTCCTCTTCCCTGAGGTTGGGCTCATCAACAGCTTTTGCCCCACTTACAGCTTCAGTCCTGGGCTTCAGGGTCCTATCCTAGGTGGGTTCCCTTTATATCTAAACACCTTCTCAACTCAGCCTAACACTGGAATCCATGAAGGAGACTGTTCTACCTGAGAACGTGACCCAAGAGGGACAGGACTAACTTCTGTTGCTGTGCCCAATTCTTTCCCTCATAGGTCATAGCTCTAGAGGTGGCCTTATCTGCTGCTACCACTATAGTGATCCCTCATTTTATCTCGTGCCTATTACCCAGGAGTTTAAAGAGGGCAGATTGAAAGGGCTGCTTAGGGGCACCTGGGTGGCTCAGTCGTTAGGCGTCTGCCTTCGGTTCAAGTCATGATCTCAGGGTCCTGGAATTGAGCACTGCATCGGGCTCCCTGCTCCGCAGGAAGCCTGCTTCTCCCTCTCCTGCTTCCCCTGCTTGTGTTCCCTCTCTCGCTGTCTCTCTCTCTCTCCGTCAAATAAATAAATAAAATCTTAAAAAAAAAAAAAGGGTTGCTTAGCATCTATTTTGTGTTCAGCACAGTGCTAGGCACAGTGTGGATTATAAGTGGAGGGGTTATCAGAGATCCTGCCCTTGCCCATCTTCACCACAGATAAAGGTTTACTGAGGTGGCAAAGGAATTCAGTGGGCTCCTTTACCTTAGACCAATTTCTCTTAGCTACATAGCCAGGGAATAGCAGCTACTCACATTTATGTATATGATAAGTAGGGACACAGGGTGTAAAGAGGCCTTATGAGTTCCTGTTCTCTCCCTCCCCCCATGGCAGCAACAGCCAGGCCTGTAGCAGTGCTCTTCGGAAACCAGCCATCTCCATTGCTGATAGCACAGAGCTCAGGTAAGTTGAGCTGGCCCTGGGAATAGAACAAGGGATAGTTAACAATGGGTTACCCTTTGCCCAAGTCCCAGATATACCCAGACTGCTAGTAGTTGCTAATTCCACTGGGTCGGGCTCCCGCAGAGATCATCCCCAAGGTCTCTGACTACAGGCTGGGAGCTGCTTTGGGAACCTCTTGTAACCCTTCTATAACCCCAGGGTGCTGCTGAGTGTCCTGTACCTATTGGTGGAAAATATCCGCCTGGAGCGAGAGACAGACTCCTGCCGGTGGAGGACAGCACGGGAGACCTTCCGCACTGAATTGAGTAAGAAGTGGCACTTGAGGAAGGGTAGGGATAAGGTGCTGATGGTGGAGGGGAAGCATAGCTTCTGCGCATCTGCAGAGAAGAGACAAATAGCTTTTCCTTCCTTCCTTCCTTTCTCCCTCCCTCCTTTCCTTCCTTCCTCCCCTCCTCCTTCCAAATTAGCATCCATTCTTTTAGGGCAGAGACACTGTGTGGCAGGCGTGAGGACCTGGCTTAACTTCCCTTGTGTCTATGAGTTAGTACCAATCATGTGTCATTTCTGTGCCTTGATTTCCTTGGTTATAAAATGGAAACAGCCATCCATCTCCCATTTCATCATCAATCTCACATGAAAAAATGAGTTGAATCGCCTTGAAAATATTGATGTTGTCATCACACAGGGATAAGATATGAAGGCCTATGGGATTTTTAAAATATATTAGACTGATGTGGGAAAGTGAGTTGTGATCTATAAAATGCATTGAGTCCTTCGGCCAGAAAGGAACATCTTTAGTACTATTACTTCTAGTTTGGTATCCACCCTCAAGCTTGGGAGCTAAGCCATTTTACCTCCATGGCCTCCCTTCCTGCCTCTTCCCTCTGGGGATTCTCTAAGCCTCCTTCTAAGGAACAGTACTCAAATTCTTGGAGGAGGTAAGAGCCTTCCTCACTGCATCCAGAAGCAGGGTTAAAGGGGCAGGGTTTCAGCACTCTCATCCTCACTTTCTCACTTCTCTCTCTCCTCTTCCCCAGGCTTCTCCACGCATAATGAGGAACCTTTTGCCCTTTTGCTTTTCTCCATGGTTACCAAGTTCTGCAGCGGCCTGGCTCCCCATTTCCCCATAAAGAAGGTCCTGCTTTTGCTCTGGAAGGTGGTCATGGTAAGTGGCTGATCCACCCCCCTCCTACCCACGCCCATCTCATCAGATCAGCAGTGCCCCTCTGCCACCTCACTTTCTTCTAGTCTGATTCCAGGAGACTGGAGCTAGGCAGAAGAATAGGGAGAGCAGCTGTTAGCCAATGGAGAGAAATCGTATGTTCTGTGTCACAGCAGATTACCTATTTCTTTTGGACTGACAGGAGATGTCACTCTATGATTAGGGTGTCATTGCACCTTCCCATGATAGAGCTGACATTTCATGGAAAGAATACTGGTTGAGAGTTGGGAGATCTAGCCTCTGCTGATACCGAGGAACCTCAGGCAACTGTCTCTGCCTCAATTTTTCTAGCTATAAAATGGGATTTACTGCCTGCCCTCCATCCAGATAAACAGAGGATTTGCTTTAAAAAAAAAAAAAAAATGAAGTCCTGGGGCACCTGGGTGGCTCAGTCAGTTAAGTGTCCAACTCTTAATTTTGGCTCAGGTCATGAGCTTAGGGTCGTGGGATCGAGCCTTGCATTGGACTCTGCGCTCGGTGGAGTATCTGCTTCTCTCCCTCTTTCTCTCTCTCTCCTTCTGTCCCTCCCCCTGCTCACATTCTCTCTCTAAAATAAATAAATAAATCTTAAAAAAAATGAAGTCCTTTTAAGTGTATGGTTACAGCTTTGTTACTAATTATTAAATCTGACCTTTCACCTCTGGCTCCCACCCCACAGGACTGCCTGAACAACATACCCTCCAGAGCAAACTTCATGGGGGGAACTACCTTTTGACTGCAGAAGAAATTGAGTGACTCGGGCTTTATAGCATCTGGTTGTACTCCTTAAAAAGGGGACACAGTTTCCCTTTTTTTTTTCTCCAGTGGAAGCCCCCAGAAGTCCCTTTCCTAATTCCTGGTGATGTTTCCAGCCCTGAGTCAGTAAATAATGCTTTATCCTGACCCCTGAGCTTCTAAGACTGGGGATAGTAACTACATTTGTCCCTTCCTGTTTTATTACTTCTTAGTTAAGAAGGGAGTACAAGGGGACTGGAGAGTGTGGCTCTGCCTCTCCGTTCACATTTCCCTGACCTCGTTCCCTCTGACTTCCCTCTTTTCCTCTCCTCTGCCCCTTTTATACTGTAGTTTACCCTTGGTGGATTTGAGCATCTACAGGTTCTCAAAGTACAGAAGCGGGCAGAATTGGGCCTGCCTCCACTGGCTGAAGACAGTATCCAGGTGGTGAAGAGCATGCGTGCTGCCTCCCCGCCCTCTTACACCCTCGACCTGGGGGAGTCTCAGCTGGCACCACCACCCTCTAAGCTGCGAGGCCGCCGTGGTTCTCGAAGGGTACGAACTAAAGCAGACAGTGGTGTTTTGATACTAGTAGGCCAAAAATTAAGATTCCAAGCTACTCTGGATGTGGTAGGAAAGGGCAGTAAATGACGAGGCTCATCCTACCTCTGATTGGCCTTGTGACCAACCTGAAACCTTGGAGTCTGTACTTTGGCTGCTGTCTCCCAACTCCAGAAGGCTCCCAGGCTATCATGATGTAACACTGTTCATATTACATCATAGATCCATATCTTGCTACAGGGTCATTGGCCCAGACCTGGTATGCCTCGAGTTATCCTGGCCAACAGTTAGGGCATAATCCTGGAGATAGGGACCCAGATCACCTGAACAGGGCTCCCAGCAAATCCACGTGCATGGGGTAAGGCGCTTTATCATTATATTGATAGCAAGAAGGTTTACTCTGAGCCAGCCATGCTCTTGTCTGGCCCTGGAACCAGAGGCTTACATTTAGGAGGTGACTGATTAGTGTTCTAGGTATAATCTGCATCCCTGGAAAGGTCAGAATGACAGGTTGCACTGAGACTTGACCATGTACCCACAAACTCACCTCCCTGAAATACCTGAGTTCACCAATTACAGGTGACCAGACAGTCATGTTCAGTAATCTAGTCTACGTAATCTGCAATGTGATTTTTTTTAACCTTTATTTTTTGTTTTATAAAGTAATGCTTACTCATTGTACAAAATTTGGAACAAATATAAAAATGTGAAGAAGGGAGGAAAAAAGAAAATCATCTACAAGCTTAATAAACCAGAGGCAGTCACTGTTAACTTTTTGGCCTATTTCTGTCCAATCTTTTTTTCTTTGACAAGATTTAAAATTCCAAACTTGCTTCCCTCTGCCTAGCAGCAAGCCTCTGTCCTCCTCTTCCTCAGTCAGCCAGCTGGTGTAAGCTCACAGAAGGCAAACTAATTGAATGTTCACCTAAGCAGAGCATAATAAGGAAGGAAAGTGCTGGCAAAAAAAAACAAAAAACCCATGCTTTTTGAAAGCTAAGTACCTGACTTTGGGATTATGTATGCTTTGTTCCCCAGCCATAGGCTTGGTTGCCTGAGAGGTGCTTGTCCTGGGATTGGGCCTGGTGGATATACTAGGGTTAAGGTGGGGAAGGGGATATTCTTACAAGAGCTGGGTTGTTACTCCATGTATCCTAAACTCTAGTAGCTTATGGGTAGAGGGTGACCTCAGACAAGGATGCTCAGAGTGAGATCTCTGTACACCTTCTCTCCACCCTCCCAACCCCCGCCCAGCAACTCCTCACTAAGCAGGACAGCCTGGACATCTACAATGAAAGAGATCTCTTTAAGACTGAGGAACCAGCCACAGAGGAGGAAGAGGAGTCTGCTGGTGATGGAGAACGAACCTTGGATGGAGAATTAGACCTGCTAGAGCAAGATCCTCTGGTGCCACCTCCACCCTCACAGGCATCCCTTTCTGCTGAGCGGGTGGCCTTTCCCAAGGGCCTACCCTGGGCCCCAAAGGTCAGGTAGGTTTGATAACTCCGGGAACCCTGAATTTTGGGATTAGAATCACTGAAGGCCCAGGGTGCAGTGGTCTACATGTTCAAGTCTCAGTAAGCTGGGCTAGAAGTCAGAACTCCTGGGTTTGAAGTTTCCTCTGTTAGCTCTTATCTTCCCCCACTGCTCTAATCCTCCAATCAAAGGGTTAGGAGTCCAGAAAGGTTCTGTCTCTCAAGGTTTGCTTTTTTTTTTTCCTTTTCTGGGAATTGTCTCTCCACTGTCCTCTCAGACAGAAGGACATTGAGCACTTCTTGGAGATGAGCAGGAACAAATTCATCGGATTCACTCTGGGGCAGTAAGTGACTAGATGGTCAGAACTGGCTATAGAGTGGTTCTTAGGGGGCCAGACGAGTGGGTGGCTGGAATGAGAGATGTTGCCTGGTAGTTATGGTGTAACCTAGAGCCACTATGGGCATCTGCTAGTGACTCTGGGCTGGTGCCATGGAATTTTTTTCTTCCCAGTTTCCTAGAAGAACTCTTATGTTCTTAGCCAAGTGTAGGACCTTGAGTGACAAGTCATTTCCCTCTTGGGCTTCAATTTCTTCATGAGAGTGTTGGATTAGATGGTCCCTAGGGGTCCTTCCTGTTTTAATAGGCCAGAATTTTGTGAAGAAGCAACATGGTCAGAACAGATCCAGTCTTCCCCCATATCTCCTCCCTCATGAATTCCTCACACTGGCTGGCCTTTACAAAATGGAGAAGGCCTTGTTCCCGTGTTTCACTGTAGTTGGGCTACATGCCCTTTTAAGGAACCTACCACTCCCTGACAAAGTAAATCCCCAAAAGACTATACAAAAATCCTAATTTTCAGGAACACTTCTGTGTGGCATTGTTCTTTTTGTGTCCTGAAGCAATAATGGGGGACATGGAAGCTTGCAGAGAAAAATCCAGAATACTGCATGTTGAAAGTGGCATGGTCCATGTAACTCCAGGGGATATAAGTAGTTCTCTATAGTTTTTTTAAATTTAAATTCAGTTAGTTAACATATAATATGTTATTAGTTTCAGAGATAGAGATCAGTGATTCATCAGTAGTTCTCTATAGTTTTGATGCTTATGATCTGGTATATCTCTCATTTCACAGGGACACAGATACCTTGGTTGGATTACCCAGGCCCATCCACGAGAGTGTGAAGACTCTAAAGCAGGTGACCAGGGCGGGCTCTCAGTCTTCAGGGATAGGGAGCCATCATTCAAGTTTGATTACCAAAGTCCTGGTTATTGGCTCTTCTACCAGACACATTCTGTATTTCCCCTGCAGGCATTTTGGCCAAAGAGGAAGAAATTAGGTCTTCTTATTTAACCATTTTCCTACATTCAGATAGATGAAAAAGTTATCCTTTCTTCCTCTCATGCCTTTTTCCTCCTCCTACCCTTCTTTCTCTCTTTCTCGTCCTCGCTTCCTTTCCTCTCACTTCTTTCTCCCTATAAGGCCACCAACTTCCAAAGGCCCAGGATTATTAGCAGTCTTCTCTGCATCCAAAGTATATACGAGCACAAAGAGTAAAAATAGTCATCTCTTGCACAGACCCTGAACTCTCCCTCACCCCATCATCACTCCATACACATGCACACAGGCATACTCACACGCAGCAAAACTCTCAGGGTAGTGGTCCAGGGACATGGACCTGTTCTTCACTTCCCCTTGCCCTTTGGTTGAAGGTAAATACTTAAGTATTTCTGCTCTTCAACAAATACAGGAACATAGAATAAACAGAAACACTGTATATGAAGCACCGGCCTCAATGTTAAGGGTACAAAGGTAAATAAGACTCCTACCTTCAAAGAGTTCATGTTCTATTTGGGGTGACAAACCATATACAGGACATTTCCTTATCATTAAGGAAGATAAGCAAGAGGCTGGTACATATGTAATTGGGGCCCTCAGTATCTTTTTCTTTTTCTTTTTTTTAAGTAATCTCTACACCCAACGTGGGGTTCAGACTCACAACCCCAAGATCAAGAGTCGTACATTCTTTAGACCGAGCCATCTAGGTGCCCTCCCTTTTTTTTTAATTAAAATTTTTTTTTAGTAACCTCACCCTCTTAATTGATATCTTTTCTTCCCCAGCACAAGTACATCTCCATTGCAGATGTTCAGATCAAGAATGAAGAGGATCTGGAGAAATGCCCCATGTCTTTGGTGAGTTAAGGGGGTCCTGCCCAGGAGAAAGGCAGGAGGAAATCTATCTGCAGTGCTATCACAGAGCATATGTACATGCTGTTGGGCTCTTATGATGTGCCAAGCAAGGCAAGGTCCCTACTTTCATGATACATTAGAGTTAGAGAAAAAAGAAAGTAAGTAATTAAGGAAACAAGACTATTGAGAATGGAAGATACAATGAAGAAAATTTAAATAGGATGACATGATAGAGGCATCTATCATGTAGGAGACTACTGTCAATTAGGCAGTCAGGATAGGTGGACCTCTGAGAAGGTGAGAGTTAAGCTAAAATGTGAGGTACAAGAAGGAGCTGGCCATAGGAATATTGGGGGAAAGAGCACTCTAGGCAGAGGGAATAGCTTTAACAAGTGTGAGAGCAAGCTTGGAGTAGTAGGGGTAGTGAATGAAGGCCTGTGGCTGGAACACAGGGGTGAGGGATGGGGTTGTATGAGATGGAGTCAGGGAGGTGGCCTGGGACCACTTTACAAAGGACGTGTAAGCAAAGATAGGGATTGTGAAGTTGTTTCATAATACAGAAGTAAGCCCTTGGAGATTTTAAGCAGGGGAGTGACATGATCGGATTTATATTTTCAAAAGCCACTGGCTGCTGTGTAAAGACTCTACCAGAAAAGAGTAGAAGCAGGGTGAAACATGGGGAGTTCTGTTTCATCAAGAGTTCTATTTTGGTCATACTCAGTTTTAGATATCCATTAGGCAGCCATGCACATGAGCAGCCATGCAATTGAATATATAAGTCTAGAGTTCTAAGAGAGGACTGGCCTAGAGAAATAAATTTGGGAGCTGTTGGCTTAGTGGACAGTGTTAAAAGCCATAGAACTGGCTGAGATAACCCAGGGAGGGAATAGAGATAGAGGATGGGACCCCGGACAAAGCCTTGGGGCACACCAGTTGTGTTGAGGGTGGGATGAATCAGGAAAGGAGCCAGAAAAGAAGAGTAAGAGAAACACTCAGTGAGGTGGGAGAGAATGTGGGAGATTATGATACTATTAAAGCTAAGAAAAATTTTTTCAGGAAGGGAGTGATCAGCTGTGTCAAGTGCTGCTGATAAATGGATAAGACCTGAGGTTCCCATTGGATCAGGCAACATGAAAATAACTGGTGACCTTGATAAGAGCAACCTCAAGTGAAGAGGTGGGGCTAGTAGCTTCGTTGGAGTGTGTTGAAAGAGGAATGTAAAGAAAGGAGGTAGATGGTCAACACAGACAACATAGTTTTATTGTAGAGAGGATAGAAATGGGATGGTGGCTGAAGGAGGATGTGGGGTCAGAGGAAAGTGTTTTATAGCTAGGAGACACTAGAATATGTTTTATAGCTAGGAGACACTAGAGGCCCCCTCTATTGGGGGCCCTCCCTCTAAGTAAGTACCCTAGTGCCTCTGAGGCCATGGTCTGTCATGTCCTAGATAGCCTCAGTCTGAGTGGTGAGGATGCTGATGGTCAGGGTTAGAGGAAGGAAAGGGGTAGAGAAGGTGACATCGTGCTTATATCTCTCATCTTATTTCTAGGCATTGCCCCTCTCTATTCCTTCCATAATCTTCTTTAGAAATAACAGTGTTGAATGTTGGGATTGTGGCTGAAGGAGGATGTGGGGTCAGAGAAGAGTGTTTTATAGCTAGGAGACACTAGAATATGTTTATGTCCTAAAAGAGATGATCTGGGAGAGAAGAGACAATTGCAGAACTGATACATTCGACAAAGCACAAGGGTGAGAGATCCCCAGCACAAGTGGAGGGTTGGCCTTTAATAGAGCAGAGGTGGTTCATACTTCACGTCAAGAAGGAAGGTAGAGACCCTGGTAGATTTGGTGTTGAGAAGATGAACTGTCTGATTGCCTCTGTTTTCTCCATGAAGTATAAGACTGGGTTAGCAACTATTGAGGGGTTGGGGGGTGAGGGGATTGGTTTGAGGACAGGGGAGAAGAGAAGGTATGAAATAGATCTTTGGGAGAGCAGGAAGGCAACCTGCTCTCCCAAAGATCTATTGCCTGAGTTTACTGAATGCCCATTTAAGCAGCAGTTGAGTTATGTGGGATGGCAGGGGCCGGGTTATTCCTCCCTGCCTCAGGGTCTCAAGGCAGTCATCCTTGCCCTGGAATAGAGGTACCTTGTGGGAGGAAGAACTGAACTGGCCAAGGATGATGATGGCCTGAATAGCCCCTTGAGCACTGGAGGCCCTGGTCCCCCCGCTCTGATAAAAGGCTTAGATGGGGTCATCGAAGGACAAAGAGAGTTGTGGATGAGGGGGCTGGTCATAAAGGAGGAAGGGATGTGGTAGTGACTACTGGAGAAGGAAAGAAAATAGTTTCTACTTAAAAGCTTCCCTACTAATACTCCTTCCTGCCTCTCCCGGCCATGGGTTACCCAACTCCCTTATCAGCCTTCTCTACTGAGTTAACTACCTCTCACTTCCGAGCATTCCAGAGCTCTTGGATGGCCTCAGACTGACACCACAGGAAGTGCTTCTGTGTGGGGTGTCTGTTCTAGTGTCCCAAACATACGTGCACCCTGACTTAAGCCCATGGGTGGCCAGAAAAGCAGTGGTTTGAGCCAACTCCTAGGTAGGTGTTCTGGCTCCTGATCCAACATGTGATGGGGAAAGAAGAATTCTGTGTTGATTCCAGATAATGGGAAAACCAGAATCATAGATTGTCAGGGCTGGAAGAGCCCTCAGAGGACATCAGACCGGCCCAGTGATCCTAAAGAAGAGGACACTAAGACCCAGACAGAGAAAGTAAACCTACCCAAGGTGATATAATGAGTCATTAACACAGCTGGATAGGAACCTAGATCTGACTCCAGCTTAGTGCTCTTTTCATGCCACCCTTCACAACCAAGAAAACATAGCCTTTGTGCAACTGGAAAATGGCCCGGGCAAACTGTGTATTTCCTGCCGTAGGGGGAAGAGGTGGTACCAGAGACGCCATGTGAAATCCTCTACCAGGGCATGCTCTACAGCCTCCCTCAGTACATGGTAAGGAGATAGCTGGGCCAGAGCTGCCCTTCTCTGCTCCAGGACCAGGCAGCTGAGAACCATTTCAGGCTGACCTGTCCATTATTTGAGCTTGTTCCCTGAGCCTTCTCCCCTGAGGGAAAGCATTCTCTAACACATTAGAGTTCTGAGCTTTCCTCAGGGGCTTCTCCAAGAGGAAGGAAGACTTGGCCGTACTCCCAAGTCCTTCTTTGGGAGGGGTGGAGAATAAGGTGGGGTCCATGAAGAATGTATTGGGGGCCCTCCTTCTAAGTAAGTACCCTAGTCCCTCTGAGGCCATAGTCTGTCATGTCTTAGATAGCCTCAGTCTGAGGTTGGTCAGGGTTAGAGGAAGGAAAGGGGTAGAGAAGGTGACATCGTGCTTATATCTCTCACCTTATTTCTAGGCATTGCCCCTCTCTATTCCTTCCATAATCTTCTTTAGAAAGAACAGTCTTGAAGCAGAACAGCCTACAGCTCCCTTCTGGCTCCTTAGAGCCTCACAGGCAGGCCTCTCAGGACTGGGCACCTGTTTGCCCTTCTGGAGGCTGGAGAGATTTGGTTATTGAGGAATGAACATAGAAGGCATTAAGACACTTTTTTTTTTTTTTTAAAGATTTTATTTATTTATTTGACAGAGAGACACAGCAAGAGAGGGAACACAGCACGGGGAGTGGGAGAGGGAGAAGCAGGCTTCCCACGGAGCAGGGAGCCCGATGTGGGGCTTGATCCCAGGATCCTGGGATCATGACCTGAGCCAAAGGCAGACGCTTAACAACTGAGCCACCCAGGCACCCCTAAAACACTTCTCATAGGGCTGTTGAGGTATGGAAAAATAGCCCTGTTGAATGGGATGGACAGAGATGGATCTCCTCCTTTTCTACTTCCTAGATTGCTCTACTTAAGATTCTGCTGGCTGCAGCCCCCACCTCCAAAGCCAAGACGGACTCTATCAATATCCTGGCAGATGTCCTGCCTGAGGAGATGCCGTGAGTGCTTCACCTGGGTTGGCTGCTGAATGCTAGCTGTTTTGTCTACAGCATCTCTCTAGTCCCCACCCCACCTTGATAACACTCAGAGGGATTGTCAGCAAAGAGATCTGCTCTCCCCTTTCCACTGCAATGCTCTCTGTTGGGTTCATTTTTAGCCCAAAACTGAGGGTCTACAGGGCAACATCAGTGCCAGTGACTGGTTGCATAGGTATGTGGGTGGACATTGCCAAGAGATGAGCTTGCCAAAGGAGAGAGAAAAACAAAAAGAGCAAAGGAGCTTTTCTCCAAACAGGCTCGTAAGTGGGAACTCTGGAGGTTTCCCTAGTACAGAAGTTCAGATCTCCCAAGTTCTGGCTCTCTTGTATACGTTGTCTCTGACCCAAATACCTGGGTCCTTGTAGGCCGCTCTCTAAGGCTACTCTCTGCACTCACTCCTCCTCTCCCCTTTGTAGCATCACTGTTCTCCAGAGCATGAAGTTGGGCATCGATGTGAACAGGCACAAGGAGATCATTGTAAAGAGTATCTCTGCCCTGCTCCTGCTCCTCCTCAAACACTTCAAACTGAACCATATCTACCAGGTGAGCAGCTAGCAGCACTTCTCCACAGGTCTCAGGTGTTCTCCAGGCCCCGTGTCCCAAAGAGGAGATGTAGGGGCCTTTATAGTCCAGTTGAACATCTTTCAACCTCTTCTTTGTCCTCCTCAGGGAATCCATATACCTGTTGCACAAGCTTGCGTGGGGGTATGGAGTGGGATGTGAGGAACTGTCCTAGACAGGTGCAGATGTCTCTGTCCTTTGAACATTATCCAAGGATTGTGGGTAGGAATCCTTGGCTTCTTGGGAATGTGCCCAGCCAGATTTGAAGCAGTGCAAGACAGGATTCAAGCATTCCACAAAAAAAAAGTGAGGAAAAACTATGTAGAAAAACTTTTCTATGTGTGAAGCCCTTTTCTAACATTTGAGATATAATCCTAAATAAGGCACAGTTTTGGCTCCTAAGGACTTTGAAGTCTTGTAAAGGATATGGATATAAAAATAGCTAGTTATGGAATGGTAAGTGCCTGATACAGGTAAGCACTGGCTGGTAATCCAACCTGCAATGGAGAAGAGGTGACTTCTAACCTGAGTCCTAAAGAAACAGATGTGAGTCAGGATACGGGAGTTGTCAGGGAAGGAAGATAGGAAGCATTTCAAGCAGAAATGTTAATCTGTGGAAGTCCAGAGGAGAGAGAGCAAAGTACCTTTGGAAACTGTTTAAATGTTGCTGGGGTTCTCCCTGGGGTAAGGGGAGATGGGGCGGCCTGGTGATCCATGGAGCTGGAGAGGACGGGCAGGGAGCAGATCATAATACATATGGTAGGACACAGTTGTTGAGTACTTATAATGTGCCCAGCACTCTCTTAAGTTCGTGTGGGATCTCATTTAATTCTCTTAATCCTATGAGGTAGGTCTTATTTTATCCCTGTTTTATAAATGGGGAAGCCGAGCGTAAGAAAGGTTAAGAAGCTGCTTCCCCACGAAGGCATTGTTCACCATGCTGAGGAGTTTGGACTTGGTACTGTGGGCATTGCCAAATATCAGGGAACCTGGGGGCAGGGAGTGGATGGTCTCTGTGGTGAGAACATGGGGAGGAGAGGAGGCTCCTCATGACTGCCCAGTGTCTTTGCCCCATTTTCCTCCTAAGAAGTCAGAACCAAGCTTGCTGCTAGAACAGCAGCTTCTCAGAGTGCACAGAGGCTCCTGCAGGGTCTGTGTCCATACAGGTTTGACTATATAATCAGGGTATTTCTCCACTCTAGTACATTCAGAGACATCTTTGGGTATATTATGGGTGTCCTGGGTGCTCACACTTCTTCTGCCAGTGTTTGCTGAGCAGCAGCAGGTCGGGGAGGAGTACGGGTGGGTGGGAGATAGTGTTCCTAGTAGAAAGAACAGAGAACCGTGGGTATGTTTTTTCTGTCTGCTTCTCTTGGTGGGCAGTATGTGGATCAACAGCCAGACAGGTGGGTGGCTTGATGGGCCTTGCCAGTGTGTGTCAGTGTCAGTGAATCCCAACAAGGCTACAGACAAATTTCAAGTTGAAAACCATTTTCCATAACTTCATAGTGGGTATGTATTGGCTGCTCCATCTGGAGCTTTGGAAAATACCCCAGGTCAGCTGCCAGGGAGGAAATATTTGAGCAGAAGAGAGAAATGGGCAGCACAAGCTGACTCCCCACCCCTAACCACACACCCAGGGGCAGAGGGCAGTTTGGCTTGCTGCCATGGCTACTTCTTGGTGATCAGGAAAAGCTAAGGGATTTAAAACACCACAGTTTTCTGCTTTTTCAACCCAGTGTCTGTACTATCCCAGCAGTCTGGGTTCTGGATCTGGAGGCAAACTGTGTCTGATACTCAGTGCATCACAGGCAAAATCCAGGTGTTGCACTCCAGGACACTGCCCACTAGGTCTTCCCAGATACAAACCCCATCCAAATTCAAGAGAGCAAAATGGAACCCCTATTTCTGGTGTTTATCCCATCAAAGAGATCTTGGACTTAGCCCATCAAAGAAATCTTGGACTTATTCTCAGTGTAGTATCTATTTTTTTTTAAATTTTATTTATTTGTTTGACAGAGAGAGAGAGATCACAAGTAGGCAGACACGCAGGCAGAGGGAGAGGGAGAAGCAGGCTCCCCGCTGAGCAGGGAGCCCGATGCGGAGCTCGATGCCAGAACGGTGGGATCATGACCTGAGCTGAAGGCAGACGCTTAACCAACTGAGCCCCCCAAGCACCCCAGTGCAATATCTGTTGACTGAAGAGCTCTTGTTGATCCATTCATTAAAATACTAATAACGGGGGCGCCTGGGGGGCTCAGTCGGTTAAGCTTCTGCCTTCGGCTCAGGTCATGATCCCACCGTCCTGGCATCGAGCCCCGCATCGGGCTCCCTGCTCAGCGGGAAGCCTGCTTCTCCCTCTCCCGCTCCCCCTGCTTGTGTTCCCTCTCTCGCTGTGTCTCTC